CAGGCAATAAATAATGCTGAGCAAGGAGAGGTCTATACATTGAACCATTTTAAGGAGTGATGGTGGCATTTTGTAGTTCCTCTTGCTGTTAGATTCAAAGGGTAAAGGGAGCTTTCTAATGCTGCTCCAAATGCCAGCGCACACTGACCTGCAAAGCTATGACATAGCTTTTGCACACAATTTTGGACATTTTAGTATGTCCTGCTTAGATTTTAGTTCTTATAATCATGGGGCTTTTTTTGTTAAAGTGAACTTTTTGAAAGTGAGGAAAACCTATGGGGCACAATGAGGTATTGAGAGCCATGTGTTCCATGGTACAGAAAGATATGTTATGATTCTTATCTTCGTGAGACTGTGAAAAAATAGTTCTTTGTCCTCAAACTCATTAAAAAGTTATTTAATAAAGAACTTGAAACCATTATCAATATTTACAAAAGAAATGCTTGAGAGCTGAGTTATGTGTTTTGAAATTCACAGAAGGCTCAGTGCATTGAAGCAACAATATATGTGATAGGAAGTATAGCTGACATTTTCCAAATATAAAAACCAGATGATGGAAGGTTTAATTTCTATGACTTGGAGCAGTAGCTGGGAGCCTACTAATCTCTCAGGAGTATTTTCAGACCATTGTGGTGCTCAAGGAATATAACATTCTCAGCATTTCTGGAAAAGCAGTTGAGATCAATGTGATTTTGGTAGATTGAAAGGTGGGTCCAGTCTTTTGAGGACTAAAACTGTTTGTTTGGGGGGTTTTTTGCACTTTTTTGTTGTTGTTGTTGTTGTTTTGGGTTCTTTTTTGTTTTGGGGTTTTTTTTTTGTTTGGTGGTTGTTGGGTTTTTTGTTTGTTAGGGGTTTTTTTGTGTGTTTCTTTTTTTCCTGAATGACAGCATATTGTGTCTTGGTTTGTTGCTTTTCTATTTCTTTGTTTTAATTCACAGGATAAATAGAGCCAAATTATCAAGGAATATTTTATGAATCATAAAGGGCTTTTTTTCCACAAGTACATAGTTTTTCTACCTGTAAAACAATGCTCCTGACTTTATTGGCTTTAGACATAGGTGGGAATAAAAACCCCACTGCAAAGCATAACTACATTTGACTGAGGGTACATCCATAAGGCATCTGCAAAACCCTGTGAGAAAGACACCTCTACAGAGATGCAGTCATTAACAGCCTCTCTAAGGACCTGAGATCTTCAGAAACTGAAAAACCATCAGAAATGCTTTTGACCCATAACCCTGAGGTACCCAAACTCGGTTGGCAGGTCAGTCTCTGCCAGCCAAGGCTGTGGGATGTAAGGGCCTGGAGAGGGCTTGGCTCTGTAGCCACCCTCGGGGTGCAGCCTGCCTTGCTGAGCACTGCTGAGCATCTCCCTCAGGTCTGTCGTTCAGGGCACTTACCTTCCTGAAGCCCACATCAGCAGATTGGCCTTGAAATCCACCTTCTGTGTTTTTAAAAGATACATGTGCCCCAGCTGCTGGAAATGCTTGTTCTGCAACAATGCTTGCTCTGCTGCTTCTGTTCATTATTTAAGCAGGGACTAGCTTGAGGGACTCTCAATTCTTGGACACAGCAGCTGAAAAAAACCCCACCAGAGTACAGAGTAATATTGTAACAGTTAAAACACAGCCCATCAGGAGTAGTCATGATAGAATCCCATCTTGTACTCTCCTGCCAGAGTACTGCAGTAAATGGTGAAGGACAAACTCTGGTCAGGCAGGGACCCCCTCACCTGGGCTTTACACACACAAAGATTCAATTACTAAAAGTAGTTATGTATTCATCTGGGCAATATGTGAAAATTCCGAATAGTTTCTGAGCACAGATTCTGCAGTGCTTTTAAACACTGTCTTTAGCAGGCAGTTGGGTTTTTATACATGATGCAGTGTTGATGCTGTGTTTTTTTCATTGTGACTGTACTTCACTGCTCATGCTGTCAAGGCTATACATTTCCTACACTATAGCAACAGCTTATTAAGAAATATTCAGACATAAAACAAACCACCTATTTTATTTGTCATTTTCAATTACACTCCAAGGACTTTAAATCTATGCTTTAGCAGGCTTGCAAATGGTCTTACTGGAATGAAGAGATGGGACCAGAGTCACTTTATAGATGCAGCAACCAGTGTCACTGCAGAAGGTGGAAGCCTGACCACCAAGTGCTAGTTTTCCCAGGAGTTTCTGACTTGGTGAGTATTCAACCAATACACTATGGCTGAGCTTTAAGCAGTAGTTGGATGAGGTCTAATCCATACATCTGGAAACAGCCTGTGTATCACAAAGAGTATTGCAGAGGGGGCTGCTCTTATATTTGTCCCATGTGTTTGCTTTTATTTGATTTTGTATTTGG